TAATTTTTTTTTTTTTAACGTTTATTTATTTTCGAGACAGAGAGAGACAGAGCATGAACAGGGGAGGAGCAGAGAGAGAGGGAGACACAGAATCTGAAACAGGCTCCAGGCCCTGAGCTGTCAGCACAGAGCCCAACGCGGGGCTTGAACTCACGGACTGTGAGATCATGACCTGAGCCGAAGTCAGACGCTTAACCGACCAAGCCACCCAGGCGCCCCGACAAGTGCCCTCCTTAATGCCCATCATCCATTTAGCCCATCCCCCTCCCCAACACCCCACCAGCTACCCACAGTTTGTTCTCTGTATTTAAGAGTCTCTTATGGTTTGTCTCCCTGTTTTTGTCTTACTTTTGCTTCCTTTCCCCTATGTTCATCTGTTTTGTTTCTTAAATTCCACATACAAGTGAAATCATACATTTGTCTTTCTCTGACTGACTTCTTTTGCTTAGCATAATACACTCTAGCTCCAGGCACATTGTTGCAAATGTCAAGATTTCGTTCTTTATCATCACTGAGTAATATTCCATTGAATATATACCACATCTTCTTTATCCGTCTGTCGATGGACATTTGCATCCCACAAGTTTTAATATACATGCTTTCCTTATTTTGGCAGTTAGGCCAAAATATTTTCCTATTTCCCTTGTGATTTCTTCTTTTAACCTTGGGTTATTAAAAAGTGCATAGTCTTATTTCCAAATACTTAGCAGTTTTCCATTCCCTTGTTACTGATTGCTAGTGTAACTCCATGGTGCTCGTATAATATGCTCTGTGCGATTTCGGTTGTTTTAGAATTGTGAATTCATGAAGGTTTTGGGAACCGGAGGCTATTTGATTGTAAAATTAGGGCATTGATTGAGCCTCTGAGTCAATTTTCCTTCTTCTTTCAGGTGAGAGATCAAGCCCAGCGCTGTTCACGGGTTCTCCTGGATATTGAGGCGGGTGCTCCTGTTCTCCTTATCCCTGAAAGTTCCAGATCAAATAATCTAATTGTAGCAAATTTGGGGAAGCTGAAAGTCAAGAACAAGTTTCTCTTTGCTGGTTTTCCCGGGACCTTTTCCTTGCAGGATAAGGTGAGTGATCAGTATCCATTCCCTTTTCAGTTCAACTCGTGTTTGAAGGTTTCATATGTTGTCATAAGATGACTCATAACTGCTGTTACTTTTGTAGTATAGGTGGCTTGAACAATTTTTTGGGACATTTTATTGATATTTCAGTTAGCCTTTTAATAGAGATAGTGTAAATTCTAACCTTTACCAATTGTATGCAGTAACTTACTTTAGCAAACAAATCAACAGAACCTATTTTCCATTTCTGTAATGCTTTTTTTAACAGGCTGGTCTTATAAATAACTTTTTACACCACCTGCCTTTTTTCAGAGAATGGGTTTTGGCCCATGATTTATTGGAAGCTGTTTAAGAATATCATCATAATAAAATCTTGTACAGTATATGACTTTACAGTTTAAAACTACTTTGGTAGCACTTATTTATTTCTTATGACAATGTTTAGAGTTAATCAGGATAAAAGATTGTTGTTTTCATTTTACGTTTGGGACAATTTGGACTCATTGAGAATAAACGACAAAAATGAGAACATGTAGTAAATCCCAGACTTAGTGCTGGAGGTGGTCTGATGAGCCCCTCCTGCCCATTTCTGCAGTTGAGGAGATTCACGCTTCCCAAACTAGGGACAAGGTCTTGTTCTAGGTGTGTGTGTTGATGAAACCTTACTGGTTTCTAGGGCAGCTTTGCAGTGTATTTGCTTATTAAGTACAAATTCATTTCACTTGTCAGAAAAGCACTTACTGAAATTCCCAACTAGTTGTGCCCATCTTTAGTATAACAGCTAATAACATGGGGAAAGAGCCTTTGAAGGAGGAGATACATAAGATTTCATTATAAGCTCTTATGATTGCTGGTAACAGCAATAAATAGCCAATGTTCATTTTGAATACTTCTTACACATCACCCAGTGCTAAGCTCTTTATGTATTTGTCTATTTTTTTCTCCTTAGCAACCTAAGGGGTATCTAGTTTTATTAACCCCATTTTTCAAGATTAAGGTCATTTCTTTTGGGTAATATAGCTAGTCAGAAGTATAGTGTGGGCCTCAGACTTGGTGTGTCTGCCTTCTATATGCCATTGCTTTAAACTGTGATCGCCTTCACAGACCTTCAGGTCATATCTCTGTGGGGAGGGTAAACTGGAGGAGGATGTGTCCTCTTGGCCCTTTCCTTCAGAGCCGTAGCTCTTTTGAATTTTCTAAAGGGTGTGACACAATTCATTAGAATAATTTAGACGGAAGAAATCCGATGATTATTACAGAAAAGATATAAATTTGAGCAGTTACTGTTTGCCTCTCTAGGTATAGAAAGAAAAGAAAATGAAAAAGTGTGATTAGGGTGCTAGTTCTTACCAGGACTTCGCCAAGGACCTCAGCTCTGTTTGGAAGGCAACCAGAGACTTTATTTGTTGGTGATGCCTAAATGCAAATAATGTTATTATTTTCAAGTTACTGTCTCCATGTTTTCTTTCATTTGTTTTACTTCTCACTCATCCATTTACTCTTTTTTTAAATAATTTTTTAAAGTTTATTTATTTGTTTTGATAGAGACCGTGCAAGTTGGGGAGGGGCAGAGAGAGAGGGAGAGAGAATCCCAAGCAGACTCTGCACTGTCAGCGCAGAGCCCGACATCGGGCTTGAACCCGTGAAACCGTGAGATCATGACCTGAGCCGAAACTGAGGGTTGGACCCTTAACTGACTGAACCACCCAGTCACCTCCATTTACTCACTCTTACTGACCTACACATGCTGAGCTGAAAATGTTTGAGGCAGTGAGAGGGAGTGGGTAGAGCAGGAAGGGTGCAGACCGCCAGCGAGAACATAGCAGCCATAAGTTTGTGTTCAGACCAGAGGGAAGGTGTTTGGACAAAGGGTCGGGTCTTCCAGATGTCCCCTCACTTGCAGTCGCTCAGAGAAACCGGATTCAGTGATCAGAGCAGAGGGTGGCGCCAGAACGACAGTGTCCAGCATTGGAGGGCAGAGTGCCACCAGGTGTATCTTGTAGCTTCGTAGACCAGCCTTGAGCCAGAGCTGATGATTGAGAACTTGCTCGCTCACCTTGCTGTAGGAAGGAAGCCCTTCCTGTTGGGATGATGCGCCTTCCTGCCAGAGGCCGCTTTGATTGGGAGAAGTAGACTTTCACTTGGGTATGTTTTTTAAGAGCACAAAAGTGAAATTAGCCTGCGTTGGTCTTTCACGGCAGGCCTAGTAGAGAACTAGTAACCTTGGTCTTAAGGAAGAAAGTCTGTTTTCACAGTCAAGAGATAAGCATTTTGCTGTTCACTGACCAGAGTCTTAACATAAAAGATCCGTTTGTAAAAAGAAAGATGGGTAACTGCTTCTAAAATTTCTCACTCGCTTGCCGTGAATGTGCGGTATTTATAGTTAACGTGACTAGATAATGAACAAACGTATCAGAACTTTTGTTTGCACGTGAAGTTTGTCCCCACTGTCACCTCGGGACACTTTGTTCCAACATCTTGCTCCAGCTCTGCTGCCATCCCTGCCGAGGGAGAGCCGAATCCCTCCTTGGGAGCGGTCTTCTGAGCCGATAGTAAGTTCTTCAGGATGTATTTGTTTGTGGTAAGTCTTTTTTTTGAGGACTTAGTTTTTTAGGAAGGGATCAGCTGGAACCAGAATGGGTGATCAGGTTCGATAATACCATTTTTGTTTCTCTACCCTTCCCATCAAGATAAAGGACCGATGTTCTACATCGGTTATGTCTACGTACGGGCTCGTGAGCTAACTCGGCAGTTAGCTCCTAAAGAATTGCCAAAATATTTGAAGAAATTGTTGCACGTGAGTTTCTCTTGTTAAGTAAGGCAAATAACAGCACAAAGTTGATAGCATTTTAATGAAAAACTTGTCCTGTATTTGTTTTTGAGGATTTGATTTTAAGTGGCAGTGCATACAAGGATCGCTTTTTCTTCAAGGTATTAATCTACTCTTTTGCTTACTGTTCATTCTGAAAAACCTTATGGGATTCAGCAGTCAATTCACATTCATATGCTCAGAGCAGAAAACTTCCAAAAATTAACTCTTTAAAGCACCTCATTATTTGGGAAAGGCTGATTATCAGTTTTTTGTCCCTTTCCTGAATCACTTTCCCCCTGTGTAGAGAAGGCCTTCTTAAGGACCAATAAAAGAAATTTCTTTTTTTTCCCCCCTAGGTAGTAATTTCTTGATGATCTTATTTCCTTAAATCCTAGAGAAGCTTTATCTTGTTACATGCCAGTGATCTGTAGAATTCCATAAGGGCTGCTTGGAGTGTGTCACTGGGTAAAGTATTTGTAATCAGATCAGTACATCTGTGGATCTTTACCTCTCCACAAGCTCAATTGATTGAGGCCTAGATGAAGCGAAGAATTACTTTCTTCATCAGAAATCACGTTGCGTTTCCATTTTCCCTTTAGTGTATTTGCACGGGTGAGGTTTGTCTAGTGTGTGTTCTGGTGGTTAAAGAACAGGAAATAATCCTGAAATCAGAGCTCGCGGAAGGGTTATTTGCCTTTGAGTTCCACGACTTCGGTGCGTTTGAAATTGTTTTACACAAATCCATGTCTTCATGAATGCAGGCTTGGATTTTTTATGTATGCTTTTCCTTTCATTTTCCTCAACCACAGCTTGTGCTTAAACCATAATTTCTAAGTTAGCGTTTCAGAAGCTTTCAGTTAATCTCCTCAAGCCATTGATTTATTTAAACTAACTATATAGACTGTGTAGACATAAATCTAATGAAAGAGCAACGACTGTCCTAGAGTTTAAGTAAACTAATCAAGGGGGAAGGTTTTTAATGTCAAAATATTTTTTTTTAATTTTTTTTAATGTTTTATTTATTTTTGGGAGAGAGAGAGAGAGAGAGAGAGACAGAGTACGAATGGGGGAGGGGCAGAGAGAGAAGGAGACACAGAATCCAAAGCAGGCTCCAGGCTCTGAGCTGCCAGCACAGAGCCCAATGTGGGGCTTGAACCCATGAACCACAAGATCATGACCTGAGCCGAAGTTGGACGCTCAACTGACCGAGCCACCCAGGCGCCCCTTAATGTCGAAATATTTAAATAAGAGCATTTGCTTAGTAATTTGCCTTCCAAAAAAAATTGCAGAAAGTTAAGAACTGTTTTTTGTTTGTTTGTTTTTTTCCACTGTTACTTGTAATTACTACTCAAGATAACTGGGAAGGAGAACAGTATTATCATCCCCTTTTCAATGCTGAGAGGAATAAACATACAAGGCAGTACTAGCAAACCCATTCTTGCCCTCCCTGCAGCTTGCTTGTGAGAAGGGGTGAATGAATCGGAAGCCCTGCAGATAGGTAGCGCGGTGGCTTGGGGGAAAGCTTAAAAGTCAGTTATTGAATCATTCTGGTGAAGATTTCCCCAGTTAGCAATGAACTGAAGGTACTCAGTGTGTAAAAAAAAGTATGTAGTGTTTTCAATAGAATTACAGAATTTATGTTACTCTGTGTTTGTCCTTAATTTTTATGCCCTTGAACAGAAACATAATAGGAATGGCCAACCTCCTATGTTTTCCATTTTGTTCTCATTTGCACAGTTACTTAAAGGGATGAGAGATGTAAACCTAGAAGGAGCGACTTCTAGAAAGTCCAGACACTCCCATGGCTTCATTCCATTGGAACCACATTGCTGTTAGATACATTTTCTTAGAATAAAGAGCTCCTCTCCTCCTCTCCTCTCTGTGCTGTGTTTGACCTAAGGCTAAACCACCAACAGTTAGCATCTTAAGCCAAAAGATAATACATTCCTGCAAGATTGCTATAGTTTTCAACAGGTATTGAATTATAAGTAACACCTCTGCAAAGAATTACGTGTGGCAGGGGCAGGGAATGCCATGAGCCTCTTACTCCTTTCGTTTCTGGAAGCTGGGGGGTGCTTGGAAAGTGTCAGGTGTCATAGAGTCTTTGAAGAGCACAGTGACTGGAATAGGACTTCCAGGAGAGTAAAGATAAATAGTCACCCCTGTTCCTGTCTTCTAGTTTTATTTTGTTTCTTCCCAGGAGTCTGTGCCTTCAGCTTCCCCAACGGGTACCCCCAAACACAGTTTGAGGAAAACGACGAGTGCAGAGGACCCGAAGGGAACCCATTCCGAGGGGCTGTTTATGATGCCTCCTGCTGGAGTGAGTGCAGGCAGCCTGAGGAATGAGTCTGTGCCGAGTACCTCGGCCAAGCAGCAAGGACAGCAAGCCACACCCTCCACCGGCCCGGTTCCTGGTAGTCCTGGTAAGAGAGGAGAAAGGTGGGGAATTCACGGGACTGTGGCGGGTACCTGGGGGGGGTGTGTGCATCAGAGATCGCGGGTCTTTAGTGATACTCTGATTTTGCTTTTGCTTTAGAAAGCTTAAGAATCTTAGGATGCAGATTTTAGCACTGGGGTGACTTCTACAGTACAGTTCAATTAGCAAGACACAGTGTGAATAAAGGGATTTAGATGGCCTCTTAGGACTTTTTCTTCTGGGTCAGGGTAGTTGACACAAGAAGATGATAGTATAGCTGGAACGATTCCTTAGATACATCCTTGCAAGTCACTGTCTGGACATTATCCTTTTCCTACGTAAATATTATTCTGTTTAATTCTAAAAAACCCCCAGAGAACTCTTAAAAAATATTAGTGTGAATTAGGTAACAACAGATACTATAAGCAACAATTTTGCAAAGACATGAACCATCCAGTTATTGGTGTTCTCTAGATTTTAAAAGTTAGTCATTCCAGGGGCGCCTGGGTGGCTCAGTCGGTTAAGCATCCGACTTCGGCTCAGGTCATGATCTCGCGGTTTGTGAGTTCGAGCCCCACGTCAGGCTCTGTGCTGACAGCTCAGAGCCTGGAGCCTCCTTTGGATTCTGTGTCTCGCTCTCTCTCTGCCCCTCCCGTGCTCACACTCTGTCTCTGTCTCAAAAATAAAAAAACATTAAAAAAACAAAAGAATTAGTTATTCCAGAGGAGAGCCTGGTTTTGGCCTTTTGGTTTTTATTAAAAATTTAATTTAATTTAATTTTTTTCCCCCATTTTAATTCCAGTATAGTTAACAGGGTTCTATTACTTTCAGGTGTATGGTATAGTGAGTCAGCACTTCCGTATGTGGCCCTGTGCTCATCACAAGTGCCCTCCTTAATCCTCATCACCTCTTTCACTCATCTCCCCACCACCTCCCCTCTGGTAACCATTGGTTTGTTCTCTATAGTTGAGTCTGTTTCTTATCTTGTCTCTCCCTCTCTCTCTCTTCCTTTTTCTTTTTTCCTTTGCTTGTTTGTTTGTTAAATTCCACATAGGAGTGAAATCTATGGTATTTGTCTTTCTCTGGCTGACTTACTTTACTTAGGTTAGCCAATACTCTGTACCTCCATCCATGTTGTCACAAATGGCAAGATTGCAATCTTTTTTTTATGGCCGAATAATATTCCATTGTATATATACCACCTCTTTTTAAATTTTTTTTCAACGTTTATTTATTTTTGGGACAGAGAGAGACAGAGCATGAACGGGGGAGGGGCAGAGAGAGAGGGAGACACAGAATCGGAAACAGGCTCCAGGCTCTGAGCCATCAGCCCAGAGCCTGACGCGGGGCTCGAACCCACAGACCGCGAGATCGTGACCTGGCTGAAGTCGGACGCTTAACCGACTGCGCCACCCAGGCGCCCCTATACCACCTCTTTATCCATTCATCAGTTGGTGGATTCTTGGGCTACTTCCATAACTTGGCTATTGTAAATAATGCTGCTATAAAACTCGGGGTGCCTGTATCCCTTTGAATTAGTGTCTTTGTGTTTTTTTTTGGGTAAATACCCAGTAGCAGGATTACTGGACCATGGGGTAGTTTTATTTTTAGCTTTTTGAGAAACCTCCATACTGTCTTCTACAGTGGCTGCACCAGTTTGTATTCTACCAAGCTTGAGGGCTCCCCTTTCTCCACATCCTCGCCAACACCTGTTGTTTGTGTTTTTTAGTTTAGCCATTCTGACAGGTATGAGGCGGTATCTCATCGTGGTTCTGATTTGCATTTCCCTGATGATGAATGGTATTGAACATCTTTTCATGTGTCTGTTGGCCATGTGCATGTCTTGTTTGGAGAAATCTTGGCCCATTTTTTAATTGGGTTATTTGGGTTTTGTGGCTGTTGATTTGTAGAAGTTCTTTATATATTTTGGATACTAACCCTCTATTGTATATGTCATTTGCAAATATCTTCTCCCATCCAGGAGGCTGCCTTTTGGTTTTGTTGATTGTTTCCTTTCCAGTGCAGAACTTTTTATTTTGATGTAGTTTGGCCTTTGGTTTTTTATTTTTTTTATTTATTTTTAAGTTTTTAAAAATTTTATTTATGTGTGTAAGTATGTATTTTAAGTTTATTTCTTTTGAGAGAGAGCGAGAGAGCAAGCACAGGGAAGGGGCAGAGAGAGAGAATCCCAAGCAGGCTCCGCGCTGTCGGTGCAAAGCCTGACGTGCGACTCGATCCCACAAACTGTGAGATTGTCACCTGAGCTGAAATGGAGAGTTGGATGCTTAACCAGCTGAGCCACCCAGGCACCCTTAATTTTTATTCTCTAATTTAAGCCATCTCTACACCCAACATGGGGCTTGAACTCATGACCCCCAGATCAAGAGTCATATGTTCCTCTGACTGAGACAGCCAGGTGCCCCTTTTGGTTTTTGGATGTATTCTGGGTGGGTGATGGATAGGATAAGTGAGGTGGTGCTCTAAGGAGTCAGAGAGGGAAACCGAATGTGATTCCCACAAAGTCAGTTCAGCGTGATTGGGCTTTGAGAGAACGTGGGACGCTAGCTGACGAGGCTGTTGTGTGTCTTTTGTTACATGCAAGGACTGACCGTGCTAGGTACTGCTCCCTGTAGTCCCCTGTGGTCCTAGAGGCGACAGGAAGTTGGTTTATGGTTGCGTCGGTGATTAAAGAAACGAGGTTATCCCAGTCCTTATCACAGTGCTGGCTATTGAACACTTAGTGTGTGCCAGATTGCACGGCACATTCTTTCGTAAATCGTTGCATTTCACCCCCATAGCACCCCTGTGGAGTTTCATTTTTATCCTCATTTTACACGTGAGGGAGCAAAAGGCTTAGAGAGATTGAGTAGCTTAGCTTGGCCTCGGTTGTGTGGACAGTGGAGTTGGACTGTGAATTTAGGCTGTCTGACTCCAGAGCCCGAATCCTTAACCCACGTGATACGGTCTGCCGCTTTCTCCCCGTGATGCGTGTAGAGCGTGGAGGGGGCACATGCACAGTGCGGCTCAGCACTTGTTACCACCTGGTGTTGCCGTGAGGACAGTGGTGGTTAGGAGGAGGGCCAGCTTGAGTGCCTCTAAGAAGTGATTCGGGATGCTTTCGAGGTGGTTGGTAAGATCTCTCTCTGAACAGTATTTCTCCTCCTGATTTGCTGTTTCTAGAATTTCTTTATGATGAAGATGGGATTAAAGTCGTGGTTTTCGAGCTGCTTCTGTGTATCCTTAGGATTCCGTGATGACCCTAGGGGGTCTCTGAAGCCCTCTGTTCCTTTCCCTACCCCCTTCTACCTGATCAGTTCCACTTTTATCTCTTTCACATAGTTATCAAAATAGTAAAAAATCAAGAACTGATATATTTAGTGTGGGCTGAATGCTGATGTTATAATTTTGTTCTGTTGGACATGGTTCCTGCCACCATGTGTAGGAGATGAGAAAGGCACTAAGCAAGCATCTAAGTGTTGACAGAGTAAGATGTTATGGGAAAGACGGAATGGTGCAGGAGGGAAGAACCGAGAGGACCCAGTCGAGATCGAGAGGGTAGGGTGATGCCGTTCAGATAGCAAGGGGCTTAGCAGTTTTGGGGGAGGCAAAGGCCAGTGAGCCTGAGGCTTCAGGAGCAGGGTGGAGAATGGCTTGAGACGAGGTTGGAAAAGTAGGCAGTGGGCTTATGCAGGGTTTTATAGGGATTTAGGGGGGAGTTTTGCAGAAACAACTTTGGATTCAACATAGTCATTAAAGCGTAGAAAGAACAGAATGTTACGGTCTCGTTTATTTTTTTAAGGATTACTCAGGTATTTTGTGGGCAGAGTGGTTTTGTGAAGGCCAGAAGGGGAATGGTGTAGGTGTACTGGAGGGGAGTTTCTGGTGGGCCAGGCGAGAATGACGGTGATTTGGATTAGATCACTGGTAGCGGAAGTGGTTACATACTTGTTTGAGAAAAGAATTCTGGTGCTGGACAATTTTCTAAGACTTTTGGGTGACACTATCTCTACATGAGACCCCACCCCTGTAGGATGTCCTTGGGAGGGATGGCTGTCAAATCATTTCAGTCATAACCCCTTTGAGCTCAGCTAGTGTCTCGGGACAGTAGCGAGACGCTGAAGGGATGTGGCACAATATGTACGTGATGCGGAAGGGGAGGAGCAGACAGGAAGTATCTAGCACACGGAGTGTCGCATGGGGAGGTCTTGGTGCCAGGTGAAGACCTCCGGACGTCAGTTTTTTGAAGCTGGCAGTTCTGAACATTTTAGATTCTGTCATCTAAAGACAGAGTGAACTTCCTTTAGCTTTTTAGTTTTTATTCAGGGCCAGTCCTTTTGGGTGTTATTTTCTTCATTCTCTCTCTTCCCTTGGGTCCACGTAGAAGACCACGTCTGCCTTCTGGATTGCATTGTCGTGGATCTGCAAGACATGGACATCTTTGCCGCAGAGAGACGTCCACGAGAGTATTCTAAGGCCTCAGACGACAGCAGTGGAGATCTGATCTTCCCTTCCTATTTTGTGCGGCAGACGGGAGGGAGTCTCCTCACTGAGCCTTGTAGGCTGAAATTGCAGGTGGAAAGGAATTTGGACAAGTGAGTGGTTTACATCTGAGTAACTGTCTGTCCTAGGTAAAGTCTTAATAACTTGGAAGTCGGCGCTGTGAAGGTAAGTCCGGAAGAGATAGGTATTTACTTATTTCTTCTATGTAACAGATGGTTATTGAGTCACTGCTATGTTCTAGACACGAGGGCTACGCTAATGCAAAGAAAAACCTTCTGTCGTTATGGAGTTTACATTCTGTTGATACAGGGATAGAAGGCACATAGGTGACTCTAATTTAGTGTTTGATTCAGTGTTATAAATTGTGTTACAGGATTGCTCCCAAGGCCTTGGAAACAAAGGCAAAGGGGCACAGATGTAACGTGGATTTTGGCAGAGGTAGGGAGGTAGTGATGGCAGAGAAGGTATTTTGGAAGTGGTGACATCTGGATTATATGTCCCAAGCACAGTAGATTCTGGACCTGTTGTTGCTACTTACCCTGGAGCTCCATTTAATCAGAATAACAGTGGAGATGCGGTTCTGCCCATTTCACTCCAGTAAGCAATTTGAAAGGACTCCAGAAAGGCTAAAGCACTGACTCTAATTTACCTTTTAATTGGCCTCAAACATAGGATGCTCATGTCTGCAGTTCAGAGCATTGCTTCAGTTGCCATTACTTCCGTGGGAGCGTCTGGGAAGCATCTTGGAAATAAATGTTCCCACACTCCACCTGAGACCTCCAGAGCCTGACTCTCAGGTGTCTGTGAACCAGGTCCCCTGGTGGGGACCTGGGCCACGTGCACAGCCTGGGGCTGCTGCGCACAGCACGTGATGCGTGTCCGTTTGGGTCATTGATTTTGGAGAAAGCAGCAATGCTTGTGTTTCAACCACAGGCAAAGATGAGGCTGTAAAGTAATGGAAGAGGTTCTCATGTGTAGCATTTTGAAAAGCAGTCTCGTTACTTGCGGCGAGTGTGATTTTAATCCCTCTTTGGCCGCTCCCTTCACGGTTCTCGGGTTTGGGTGAGTCATTTAATGTCACTTTTTTTGTTTCTCTCTGGATTAATGATACAGGTCAGCTGCTCTCTCTGGGATTTTTACATTTCGTTCGTATTTGTTATTCAAGTGCTCCCTGGCTGGCGCTCAGTTATGGTTGGCAGGGCTCTCTTTGGTTTTACTGGCTTAGCAGTCTTACGAGGAGCTTCCTTATCTGGAAATCGAACACCTCGTTTTCTTTTCGAGTGATGCTTTCCAAAAAAATGTGCTTTGTTACTCGGATTATGTAAACTTTACCCACTTCCATCAGCGTTTATGTGCAGAGGGTTGTACTGTTAGTCCCAATAGAAGGTGACAACTCAATATAAGATATCCTAGCAGCTGCTTGCACCACAGAAACAGGAATCCGGTGGGGGGGTGGGGGGCGCACTGGGGAGCCTTTCCAGCTTTTCTTTGTGGATTGCATCACTGGTCTTTAACATATGTAGGTTTTCCTCTGCAGACAAAGTAATTTTTTATATTCCTCTTCTACTTTAAATTCTGGTCCTCTATGTACTCAGAACATGGTGGACTCTGCAGAGTCCATGATGCCCACTGCACCATGGGCAGGTTGGGAGGGCAGGGAAAAAGCTATTCGGGGTTGGCATGAGCTGTACCAGCCCCTGACCCGGGCATCCCAACTGTACTCCTGCCCATCTCAGTAGAGACAAGTAATGGATCCAGATTTCATCCTGATGTCCCATCTGGGTTCATTGTGAAACACGGGTTTCTGCCTTTAGTTATCATGAAATCTGAAGAGTTGATTGCAGAGCTTGCCGCTTCTAAAAAAAAAAAAAAAAAAAAAAAAAAAAAAAAAAAAAAAAAAAAAAGAGCTTGCCATTTCTTTATTATTTTCCCAACTGAAATGTTTAAACTCTTTCTGAGTCTCATGCGATTTTTCCATATTTAATAGAGTACTTAGCTAACTCATGGAAGATTTGGGGACTTTTGAAATGCATATTTTGGGAGAAAAGGGGCTTTTTGTTGCCAAGCATGATACTCAGTTGTGCTAACTTGCTTTATTTGAAGCCACAGGAAATTTTTATTATTGGAAGTTAGAAATTAACTGGTTGATAATGTAGGTGGGTACACTTTAGCTCTTATATTTGGGGGTGAGCTTTGTCCGTGTTAAGTTAGTGGTTTGTTTGCCAAAGTGACCTTTTTTTCTTTTCTTAGAGAAATAAGTCACACTGTGCCAGACATATCTATCCACGGCAACCTCTCCTCAGTCCACTGCTCCCTGGATTTGTACAAATACAAGCTGATCCGTGGTTTATTGGAGAACAACCTCGGTGAGCCCATAGAGGAATTTATGCGGCCTTACGATTTACAAGACCCAAGAATTCACGTGAGTGAGACCTCGCGCCGTCCCATAACTCTTAACTTTGGCAGCCTCAGCTGATGGCCACCTCCAGCTCACCTGCAGAGAAGAGATAGGGCAAGAAGCAGATGAATGTCTTGACATATTAACCCCCTTTTCAGACTGGCGTTTTCCTCTTGCAGACTGTTCTCAGTGGAGAAGTGTACACGTGCATGTGTTTCCTCATCGATATGGTGAATGTAAGTCTGGAGCTGAAAGATCCGAAAGGAAAAGAAAGTGCTGGGTCCTTAGCCAGGTATGGCTTTAATGGTACCATTCTGCTACTAGTGAGTAACATCACAGTAACGGCGTTACAAACAATACACCTGTTTCGCTTTAGCACAGAGCCGAGTGGCCAGAGGTGGTGCACGGTGCTTTTTAAAAGTTTAAATTCGTTGCTTTATTAGCAAAGACAGGCCCACACCTGGTACTGAAACTGGTAAGTTTGAAAGAGCTTCAGAAACAGTGCTAGCCTTTGGTTTCCTGAGGATCTACTGATTTTGTTGTTTCGTTTTAATGTCAGTAGTGTTTAAAAATATTGTATGGTTGACATACTATGTTCCCTGAGTTTCAGGTCTACGGCATAGGGATTCAGCTTCTCTGTAAGTTATGCTGTGCTCACCACAGGTGTAGCCACCACCTGTCACCCATACGACATTATTACAATACCGTGACTATATTCCCTGTGCCGTACTTCCTTCCGATCCCCGTGACTTCTTCATTCCATAACTGGAAGCTTGTACCTCCCATCCACCCTATTTCCCAAATCTACCGTGCTTTAAAAGTATTTAACTGTAGAACCACAGTTCCAGAAAGCTCAGTAATGTCGTTCATGATATTTGTAGATTATACCTTTAACATAGTGCGGTATTTGTATATGTACTGGGAGGGACAGAAAAGCCATCTCAGTTGTAGCTGAGTTGCAAGGAGGGGTGAGGGAGGGGAACATTCCAGATAGCCTAGGGAATCGTAAGGTGTAAGGCTTCGATGGAGAAAGTTGTATTATGGTATATTCCTAATATAATCTCGCTGCCATGGTATGTTATCAATAGCTTAAACAATAATAATCAATAAAAACTACCACAGGGGGTAAAAACTACCACATGTCTACCACGTGACAGACATGTGGACATACTAGTGACTTAGAAAAGCGAAGTCGTTTTTCTCCTGATGCTGTGTGTCCATTGTGGCCCTCCTGCTGCTCTGCTCCTGCAGTCACCGTGGCCGACAGAGCAGCCGGCATCTTGTTGTGCCAAGGAGAAAAACAAGAGCCCAGAGTGGCTTTGAACTGCAGTCAAGTGCTCTGCAGAGCTCATGGGTTAGAACGTGGTCCCACAAAGTGCAGAGGACTCAGAAGTGGTGTCTGCCATAGGGGAATAGGGGAGACCCAGAGCTCTTTGGCGAGCAGCACTGATGGCTGCCTCACTGGCCAACCTTTCAGAAGTGGGGGACTTCACGTAAAAAGTCTGGATTTCAACCTCTTTTGAGAAGTTGAAAGCTTTGACAATACTGGGCCCATCTTTTCACTTGGAAGCATCCCGAAGCTGAAGAGCCACTGGGCTGCCCTTAGGAGGCTGTGTTCTGCCTAGCGATTCTCTTAGTGTTTCACTTGCGCGGTCTGGGCAGACCAAGAATTTATGGTTACTGGTGTAGAGCCTTTAAGACTGAGTTGTATTTTCACACTTGATAAACTTTTCATTTTGATCTCTTGACAACCATTTGAGGTTGGGCAGATCTTCTATTTTCCAGATGGAATTTTTATCTAGCGTAAGATCATATGGCTGGAAAAGTGGTTCAGTATTTGAAAACAGGACTTCAAAGCTAGAAATTTCCCTACTGAAACACTTTTTTTTCCTTTGCCTTTCCTCGAGAATCCATCTTGGCCTGTATCTGACTCAGTTGAACGAAACATGGTATAACGAAGGCTTGGGTCCCAGATTGTCTTGTGAGCTAGCAGTTCTTTTCTGATGGTTGGCTACATCCTTAGTTTTTTACAAAATGAAGTAATTCTGCACAGAATGTCATGATGGTACTGAATAAATTATGAATTGGATTATTGCAGCTTTCTCTGTTACTGAAAAGAAAAGAAAAAAAAGGTGGTCCCAAATGCACTTCCTCTTGGTGGACCAGTTGCATTATTTCTCTGTATGAAGAGTATTAATTTGTTCTGATTGTTTCCAGGAAGCTGTAGTGGTTATATAAAAATTCGGCAGACTGTGGAGAGAGAATCCCACAGGCAGGCTAGGAGTTGGTTTGGTTTCAGGGGATGGTTTCAGGGGACCCTTGACGTCCTTTGGGGATTGTTACACATATACAGCCTTCTCAGACTTAGGGTCAGAAACAAGAATGTTAATGCACCCAGAGTATACTAGGTGGTGTTCTTCCTCACGGAGTCCCTGTGGACAAGGTCATCTTCCTGGAAATGGAAAGTAAGAGACAGGGCACAACGACACTACATCTGTTTTGAGGAGTCTGTTAACAAAATCAGTGAAAGTTTCTCTCCTTCACTGAACTCAGGTATACTTAGGATTTTGTTCTGTTGTCTTGAACTTAGGTAATTTTGTAAACTGGAAGAGTGTAACATCTTGTCTGCTTTTTCCCTTTTAGATTTGACTTCAAGAAATGTAAACTGCTCTATGAAAGCTTTTCCAACCAAACCAAGTCCATTAACTTGGTTTCCCATTCCATGATGGCTTTTGACACCCGCTATGCTGGGCAGAAGGCCAGTCCCGGCATGACAAATGTATTCAGCTGTATTTTTCAGCCTTCCAGGAACAGCAGCACTGCCCAGGGATCCATTCAGATCGAACTACATTTCAGGTAGTGGATCCAGACCCTGACCCTGCCTTTTCTTTATCGAGAAATTCCCTTTTGTGGGCAGTGGGCCAAGACTTGTGTCAGCTTTAGAGCATCAAAGGACTGAGGAATCACGGACAAGATAGATAATGGCTCCCCAGTGCAGCTCACAGATTAATTTACTGATCCTGTAACCTTGCAGTTTCATTTATTGGCCAAAAGATGTCTCTGTTGCCTTAAAAAA